TTTCAGTTCACTGTTGGCAAATCTCTCTGCATTTACATGTGTATCTATGTAGGTGTCAGTGGGCCTGTGCGTAGGTGAACAATAGGTACAGAATTCATACATTTTCATGCTAAGGGCTTCAACTTTATGGTCCAGAGTTTTATATGGAATTTCTCTATGGGCTTATTACAGATTATCAAATATTCCAGCAATTGTCTATTTTTTGGTCTGTCTGTCATCCATTCCATCCTCTGAAAGTCAATCGTGATTGTGACCTAGGTTTCCTTGTTAATGTCCATCCTCGGCCTTCCAGTGTGTTGTAACACCGGTCTGTGCTAAGCTGCAAAGCACATTTTTCTTCTTTCTGCTTAGAGAGAAGAACATTTTAAGAACAGAGTGAGATCATACTTCTCTGGTTACATTATGCTATGCTTTGTTGCTTAATGACAGGTCTTAGGTGTCTTTAGATGTGGCTAAAGACATTACTTTTCATGCCTATAAAATATTTCCTCATTTTGGGAACTCTATAATTTTATTTAATGATTTCATCCTGATAAGCCTTTAAACTGTTTCAACAAAATATAATATAGTCCATATGGTTTATGTATATAATATTATACTTATAATAAATAGTATGTGTAATATGTACTGTAATTATAAAGTATATAACATTATATTTTAGGCAAATTAGCTATTGTTTAGAAAAAAATCATTAAACACGAGTATGGGACTCAGAGTGGATGACATTCCCATCTTGTTATAGAATGCTAAAGCTTCCTCTAGAGCAGCGGTTCTTAACCTTCCTAATGCTGTGACCCTTTAATACAGTTCCTCACGTTGCGGTGACCCTCAGCCATAAAATTATTTTTGTTGCTATCTCATAACTGTAATTTTGTTATTGTAATTAATCATAATGTAAGTATTTTTGGAGGTAGGGGTTTGTCAAAGGGGTTGAGATCCACAGCTTGAGAACCACTGCTCTAGAAAAATTAGATGAATTTCTCCTCAACCACCTCAAGGCACACTAAAGTCTCCATCAGTAGAAAATGGCAAGATCACATCGAAGTGTTAGAAAGTGCAGCCTCAGGGTGTAAAGTCTGAGCATGGAGCTGCAGGCATGCAATCGTGTGCTGAGGCTGGAAGTGTCAACCAGCATGGAGAGCAGGAACCTGCTGCGCGAGCTGCAGGGCTCTCCATCTTGTGAGAAAGATTCAACTCAACATTCAGAGGCTGTGACTACGGAAGGACTATGAGCAGCCACGGAGTATTCTAAAGGTATCTCGAGGCCACCTTCATAGCGGGGGCATGCAGTCTCGCTTACCACGATAACAAGAGTAACTAAAGCTCTGATGATGCACCTGATGGAAAAGCAGGCATCTGATTGGCTGATACCCATGAGTTCCTGAAGTGATCCATGGGAAAAGATCAGCCTGCTCCAGTTCTAGGCTCAGGTAAACTTGAGCCCAGATTTGTTAAGGTGCCCTGCTGGAAGCTTTCCTCAAATGCACTGTCTTCCGTTCTCACTATCCTCAGCCCAAATTGTGTTGAGGTTGGAAAGAGATGAAATTCTCCAACATTTTGACACCAAGAAAGAGAAGACAAATGACACAAAGGCTATCTGCAACTTTCTCTTCCACAAAGCTCAACCTAGATTCTCCCTTTTGATAATATTAAAAAGAGGAAAAGCATTTTGCATGAAAACATGTTTTAACTGTATTTGTAGCACTCAATAAATAAATTACAGGTTTTATATCCTTCAGAGAGGGCTGTCAGTGATTTATTCAGTTATTAACGCCACACGCTTGGGAGGATGAGTTAAATGCCGGCCCATATGGAAGGTTTGGGGATTATTCGGTTGGAATCTGCTGCTGGGAAGTTGGTGAAGCTCTCTCGGACTGTACATGAGTAGCCTGGTAGAAGCTGCGGGAAGCAGAGCCTCTGTCCTGCCCATTTACAGCAGCTTTTAAATTCCATAAAAAGGAAATGAATTATGCATTATTGGGTTTACATAAGGTCACCCAGTGAACTTTGACCTCTCTCTTTTCTCATTTGGCTCAATTATTAGATGAAATGACAGATTTGATCTCTTTTCAAATTGTATTAGAAAGGGTCTCTTTATTTCACCCTCTAGCAGCAAGCGGATGACAGGACTCAGCAAGTGCATTAATTATGATTGATTTAGAGTGTCTATAGGGTGATTATTTCTAGAATTCCACTTCCAAGCCCAAACCTTTTGACCTATTTCAGGCCACCCAGCACACTAATCCATACGATGATTTGAGGGGCCTCTGTTTGGAACGGTGGCTTCTCTCCTGTTTTTGCAATCAAAACATTTAAGATGGTTGGAGCAATCCAAAGGGGTCGGGTTACTGGGACACTTCATGGTGAAGCCATCTGAGAGCTTGACAACTCAGTTTAAAATGCCTTGTACGTGGCAACCAAAAATGGCATTGAAGTAAACCCCAGAGGAGAAAAAGACTCACACTCCCTGCTCTGAGTTTATAGGAAAATGTATGCAGATGCGTGCATCATATATGTTATAACTCTGTGAGTTCACTGGAGTCTCACAAACATGCCTGTTGTTGGAACATTCATTCCCTCCTCTCCTCTTTCCAGGGGATTAAAAATGACAGTACTAATTAAAGATAGAAAGAAAAGAGAACACTGTCAGAAGAGAAGCATAGGCCTGAATTTCAATGAGGCCCAAATGAGGAGAAGTTGGGGAGGTCTCATCATTAGGGGTTTCCTTCTAAGTACTGGGAAGTTCCCTGTGGATGAATTCTGTTCTAAAAAAGAGAGTATTTAACCAAAGTTGCCACCTCTGAGTTACTAGATCCCAGGAAAATCTAAAGGGAAACTTCTGTCTGGAATTGGTGCCTGCAAATCAATGAAGTTAACAGTACCACCTTCATCCAGTGGTCTCACAGAGTAAGGAAGGAAGGAAGGAAGGAGTTTGGGTGAGGCTGGAGAACCCATCGTAGTTTTTGCACACTGTGACTTGAGGAAGTGTTAAGGAGGACAAGGCAGTAGAAACTAGGGGAGAGCTGTGAAGCTTGGCAGAACGGAGAAGATAGAAATGTCCAGCCTAAAGCAAATTAAGGTCAGGAGCAGGGCTGCTAGACCATGGGCAGAGAAGAGAGACCAGGAGAGAAACAGGAAAACTGAGTAATTAGAGCCCCAAACCACTTTATCCTTGTTCAGCCGAGATCTTCATAGCTGCAATGTTCACCAAGGACTTCATCTAGCTTTTCTATGTCACCAAGAAGTCCTTCTGTTAGGTGAGAGACCAGGCAGAGGCCACAGTGAGTGACAGCTGTCAAATGGGTTTGAAGAGAAAATGACACCCTTAGCACTGCTTCCACTACTCTTCTCAAAATATTTCCAAAAAAATAATGTAGCTTGAAACCATGCCAAGGAAGTTGTAACGACAGGTGACCATGGGTGAGCAATAGTTCCTGTTTCTTCTTCTGGCCTCAGAGTCCCTGCTTGGAAATGCAGGTCTGCAACCAAGAAAATCCTGACTTTTTTTTCCTGTTCAACACTCTATGCTCTATATTCCTAGGAGGCATTTCCATAGTTACAAAGGATGCGCTGGGCTCCCAGGGCTTGTTCACAGGAACCAAGCAGGTTAATGCAGGGAACGAAGTAGGCCAGATTTAAGACAGAAAAGACCTAGCAGATATTGTATTCAATTCACTTTGAAATGCTGAAATCTAGGTTTTATTAAACGTGCTGTGCAGACTGAACTCATCTGCGTTCTGAGAACCAGCCAGGTCCTTCTCCTAGAATGCCCAGCACAGGACTTGCTTGATTCTCTTAACCTTACCTTGACTCAGCACAAAGCCGGCTGGCTCAGTGAGACAGCCAACCTGTGGTCATCCAGGGACCTGGCCATCCATTATAAAGCTGATAAGTACAGGCAGTGTATGGTGTCAGGTCTCAAAGCCCCTCGTAACTGGATGACAAGAAAAGCAGGACTGCATGTGGCTTAATAAAAGCTAAGACACAATCCAAAGAAGCTGGCAACAAACAACCTTACAAGGTTGCCAGTGTGGCATGCAAAGCCTAAGACAGAGGGGCAAAGGACATGTTTCCAAATCCAGATGGCGGTTCTCAACCCTGGCAGCTGAGAGTCTCAATCTGGATCTTCCTAAATTGGAAGGTGCTCCAGATGAAGTGGGATGATAGACAACTTCAATTCAGGGCTCATTTATCATTGGGTAGAGACCGAATGAAGGCTGTCCAAAGAAAAAGCCATAGAAACAGCCACTTCCATCAGGATCTCAAGGGCAAAGGGGTTAAAAGCCCCCTCTGGCCTGGGAAAGAGATGTTCCATCGTTACCTGATGGAACTGTTTCTTGACAGTTGCCATCATCAAACTCTGTTGAAGAGGCATGAAGGGGCGGTCCATGTTCCAGGCTAGGAAGGAGGAAGGAAGGAAAGGCCGTGCCTACTGACCCTAAGATGTCTGAGGATACAGCTCTTGAAAAAGGTGGTCAGAGAAGCAAAGGTGGTCAGAGCTCTGGAGGGGCTGACCTACTGAGAACCCCTGGAAGCCGGGTGACAGCTGAAGTGGTCTATACGTCCTGATATATTAGAAACAACATAAGAATGCTCAGAAGACAGAAGTCTAATGGTCTTATGAAACAAGGAAGCAGAGGCACTGGGTGCTGTACCCCACTGGGGCACTAGAATCAAGGTAGCCTGGGGGAAAGCGTGCAGTGTCTGCAGGCAGGAGAATGTGGACAGGCGTGGAGGGCCAGGGGCACAGTCCTAAGATAAAGCTTTGAAGATGAAAATTTCATTCTGCTTAGGGGTTTACCTGAGGTTTGCATCTCACCTGGAAGACAGACATGCTAAGGAGGAAGGAAGACTCATGGGGACGGCACTCAACAGAGAGAAACCTGCCCAGAGTCAACAGAGGCAGGACATGAAATCGCCATCCTGTGGGGCCTCAACCCAAGGGGAACTCCATCAGTGAGATATTGATACAACTGTTTTGGCTTCTCTCTGCTTCATAGGTTCTGCTTGGGCTCTTAGAATCACCAGTGAAACCATGTGTTCACAAGCCTCTGGGATGACAGAAGAGCAAGCAGCTGGGTCTCTTCTCACAGGAAGAAGAACTGGGCATCCCAGAGAACACATAGAAGGCTTGCTTTCCAGATGGGCAGCCACAGCATGCTGTGCCTGTGGGGACAGGGCAAGAGGTAGCATTCACTGTCCTGCCCTGAACTTACCAATAGCAACCTCGTCTTCTCTTCTCTGCCTTAGTCTAGTGTGGTTGGTACAAACTTGGCAAGTGGCCATTCTGCTACACTCTCCTCCCAAGGTTTATTCTTCTCAGTACCCATGGCCATTCTGTGAAATTCAGATCACAGAAGGCAGCTGAGCCACAGCATCTTCAATAAAAGGCATATCAAAGAGCAAGATATCCCAGCCTCAGCCTCCAGCTCCCAGACAGCATCCCTCAGCCTCAGCCTCTGTCTCTGATGCACCACATCCTAGATGTCTGTTTCATCTTCTAGACTCAGCCTCCAGCTCTCATCCATCCTTTAGGTGGGCAAAGATCTTGGCCTACAAGGAACAGGGGGTCATGTAACTGACCTTCCTGGGTCACACCAAGAAGGATACTGACAACATGTTCCAGTACCAGGTGACTCAACTCCAAGGCCAGTTTTATAGAAGACGTGTCTGAGCTATAGATTTTAAATTTATCAGGCTAGTGGACAATTACCATGGGAAAGTTTCTTTCTTCTTCAAGCAAGCATCAGGGAAGCAGAGGGGCCCAAGGTGAATGACTTGGTCTCCATCAACACAGACACTCACACAGAGGACCACCAAATGAGGCAGATGGTACCCTGGCTTTCAGCGGCCACTCCACACCTGTATTCCCTGCATCTGCCTTGGTTAGTCTCAATTTTAAGAGAGTCGTAAGGTATCTGAAAAACAAATCTGAATGTGGACAAACCGGACTATTAGCCAAGAGCTTCACCCTTTTAAACTGGGCTCCACTTGTCTAAGTATGATGCCATCTATTAGCATCTTCTAGGTATTTTTATCATTTTAATTTATTGAGCGTTGGGGTGGGTGTATGGGTGTGGGTGTGCACGTACTACATGTGTAAAAGGCAGAGGACACTCACAGAAGTCAGTTCTCTGCTTCCACCACGTGGGCCTCGGGGATTGAATTCAGGTCTCAGGCTTGGCAGCAGGTGCCTTCACCCACTGAGTCATCTTGCTCCTTTAGCATCTTAAATGAAGGCATCTAAGATGTAGCCTCGTACGTGTCACTTCCTAGAGGGTAGTGCAACTGCAAACTCACTTCAGCACTTTTCCTTCCAATTCCTTCTCTTTCCCAGCTAACTTAGAGGGAAGGAGCAGGAATATGGGCTATCTTTAGTGGGAGACCAGTACCCTGAAGAGACCAGAGACAACTCCTAGGACCTGGCTCAGTACAGTCACCCAAAAAGCCTCTTCTGTCTATTAGAGAGCAGTGCTGCCTGCTGACTCCAATGGGACTTTTGCCTTTCTGGTGCTCATCTAGGTAATTTCTAGACAGTACGCATATGCCCACACGGCCTACGAGTCCAAAGAATTGTCCCTTGCGGCTCCCTTCGCCTTTAAACAGGCTCCAATTAGACACCACTTAATGGCACCTCCAATTTGACTGTCTGTCCAAGATTCCACAATGCATGGGAACTCTCTCTGAGATTTTTCCTGTTTTTCCCATCCTCAGAACAAGGAGGGGGGAATAATACGTGATTGAAAACTAGCCGAAAAATGTTAAAAAAAAATAAATAAATTTGCAGTTGTGTTGCTTTGAAAACTTATTGCACAGCTGGGGGCATTTAAAGACCTTAATTAACAAGCCTTGGCCGCAATGTGCCCCTCTTTGGGAGGGGGAAAAAATCACAGTTAAGATTTGTCCAATTAAATTATAGAAGAATTGCTGAATTCAAAAGGAGAGAGGAGGAGGCTGGGGGTTGCACTTCCAATTTAAAAAGAAGATTTCGGTCTGATGGGAGACCTATAGTCTGATTAATTCGGTGCTAAGCTTTTCTGCACAGTTTCCACAAACTCATAGGCACTTAAGAATTTTTAACCAAATGTAATTATAGGTTTTGATAATCAGACTTTAGTTAAATAGAGTCCCCTCTTTCCTATGAAAACTGAAGTTGAAATATCCCCTTGCAAGGGAGCTCCTCAGACGCCATCATTCTCACTTCCTGAGGAGACTCTCCCTCAGCCCAGGATGAGGGCTGCATGACAACTTCAGAGATCCCAGAGGCACTGCAGCATCCATGCACAACTTCCTTCACAAAAGTGCATTAAAGATTCTATTGTACATCCACATTGGCATACAGGTGATCCCAAACCAGACTAGACTGGTTATCACTCTGTTCATTTTTTTCTTTTGATGCGTAAGGAACTTAAAACATTTTCATGGACCCCTAAAAGTATGATCGTTGCTATAATGCCTGTCTACCACACCCCACGGTCAAATCAACTCACCCAGGATTTCACTGTAAACCAAAAGATGGACATTTGACTAGCTGAGAAGAGAGTCTAAGCAGCAGGGCGGACAATGATATTCGAAGCAGTACGACTCGTATCAGCCCATGCACTGTCCTCATACCACACTAACCTCAGCCCCGTGCCCACACCCCCACACCAAAAAAAAAAAAATGCTATGCTGACATCATGGGTCTAGATCAATAGTGAGTACAGTATGCACTCTTTTGGAATGACGAGTTTTCTGCCTCTCCTGGGGGGATGCTCAGCCAAAGACAAAAAATGCATAAGGGCAGCAGAGAAAATTCATTTGTATAATCTGGCCCCCCTACTGTGGAATTTTCAATTATATATATCTAATTATGGCTGTCAGTTGATGGATTCAGAAAAGACATGTTGGTCCCCCCCTCCCTTTTTTTGTCTTTTCGTCATCTCTTCTGTTAGAATGATTATAGCACACTTACACAACTAATTGCCTTACTGCTGATTACTGATACAATTATGCAGACCCGGCTCCTTGTGAGAACAACCATCTGCAGAGAAAAAAAAGTGACACTATTCAAAAACTATCCATAATTTAACCAATGTTATTCCAATGCACTGAGCCCAGACAATCGTCTGGCCTTCATATTTCATACCCACCCTGGCAAGAGGAGGTTGGGTTTTGTGCGCCCAATTCACCTCTTTAGACACACTGTGAATCAGAAAGAAAGAGGAAAGAAGAAAGTGCTTCAAATGTCAACCCATAGTGGGGAATTGAAGCGTGGTTAACGTCCATTCCTCCTTTGGGTAATTTTTCTTCAAATTTTATACCACTTGGCAATTTTTTGTTTCCTTTCAAACTGCTGAGAAAGTGCAGATGTTTCAAGGCCCTGAAGTGGGCTTGGGCTTGCTGGGTCTTTTTTCCCCCTTAGTAAAAAAAAAAAAAAAAAAAAAAAAAGAAAAAAAAATAAATAAACTGTTTTTCCCATTGCTGTATTCTTACCGTTTCTCTTTATTTCCCTCCCAGAATGTTGAGAGACAGAGAGAGAGAGAGAGAGAGAGAGAGAGAGAGAGAGAGATGTTTTAATAGAATAAGAGGAAGTGGTTGACATATGACATTTCAATAGTTTCTTTTGTTCTCTAAGTCAAAATGTGCAGGACACCAAACTCTGAGGCCTCAGGGACCACTACGAAGGAACAGGTGGGCTGGGGAAGATGCTGTCTGCCCCACAGAACAAACAAAGAAGTCACTTGGTCTTTCCCAGCATGCATGGTGAGAACAACTCTGTTGCTAAGTGGAGGAAGGAAGGAAGGAAAGAAAGAAGGAAAGAAGGAAGGAAGGAAGAAGAAAAGGAAGGAAGGAAAGAGAAGAGAAGAAAGAAAAAGCTAGTTACAGAGCAGGAAAGTTGAAAGGTTCTCCTCTAGCTAAAAATGGAAGCAAGATATGGCTAGGGCTGAGAAAGGCACACCTGAGGTATCAGAATCTCAGACTGTCTAATCCAGATACACATAAAAGCTTTTTAATACAGGCAAGAATCTGGACCTTAAAGAGAGTCATTGAAGAAGACAATCCTGAGAGCAGATGTTCTGGATCAACTGTCTCACCAGCACAAGACTAGAAGGGAGCCCAGAACTTCTGAGGTCCTCAACGTGACACACCTCATCTCAGACCCTAGCCAGTGGCATTAACTCTAAGTTCTACTCTGGAATCTTCCTCAAACCTAGGGAATCACTCTGTCCTCATGAAAACTGTAGGCTTGTGACTCAGCCATCTCTATCCTCACTTTTCCTCCATCCTTTCCAACCTAGGATCTTTAGAAGCCTCAATTTTGATAGTGTTACTATTTTTAAAACAGGAATATTACTGTCCTGGTCCTTCTGAGACTTTTAAATTTACAATGAAATACACTAGGACTGTTTATTAAATAAGCTCTGAAATATAAAAATAAAAACACAGCCAGCCAGTTTTGGTGCACTGGTGACTGTGTAATACTATAATTAATAACGCTATGAAGTGACAGCTCCTTCTGGTGCCTTCCATTAATGACTTCATCTTGACCTTCACCCTTCCCGCCAAGGCAGGTGTACTCCACTGTAAGGATACACCTTCAGACTTGTGGAGTTCCCTAGCTAGCCAGAGTATGAGACCTAGAGCTCATTACCAAGCACCCACTGCCCTCTTCACAATACCCTACAGAGGATTCCTTTGGACTTGGTAGCTCTGCTAATAGGAATATCTGTTGAACAACTAAATGGAAAGAAAGAAGAAAGGAAGGGGAGGGAGGGAGAAGCCACTACCCTGTGACAATTCTTTGGTCTCAGTATCACTGCCCTGGGGTCCGATTCACTGCTTTCCCCCATGGCTGGATGACTTAGAAGAGCTTATTAGATGAATCTGTATGTCTTCACCCCCTTCAGCCAATTCTGTATCTTCCTTTTAGTGCAGAGATGACTCAGGGTCACCTAGCAAAGTATCCTATCACTGGTCTTAAGGTCTTTGATCATTTTATGAGTGCCCATATGCCAAGCTGGAGGAGAGTTCAATTTGGGAGAATAATAATCTTTCTTCTTCTTTGTCCCCCCACCCCCTGTTTTTCCTGT